CTGCTGCTGGTACTGTTCCTTTGACATGGCTACTTTTATTTCACACTGGAAACAGAAAGTTAAAGTCAGATCCAATTAGTAAAGATAACCCCCAAACACTAGTCTTATGCTTAAAGAACACAAAGCAGAAAATAGGATCTGCTCACCCTGGTGCTCTCCCTGAAAAAAAGATGGATAGTCTACGCTCTGTAACTTGAAAACAACTGTAAGACACAGTAGAATTGATTCTGAAAAGAATGCTTGTTTCTTGTTTCTTATATGCCTTTCCGTTTTCCCTTTGAACTAAACCTCTGAGGTCTATTTATCTGGGAAAAGTGAATTCAAGCCTGAGTTACGGAAGTCAACCTACTGAACTTAGCTCTGTTCTGAAGCTTCCACTACATATTTATGCCAATATGAACAGCCCAGCTACAATTCGAGTATTTGTTACCAGGTTGAATTTCAACCAGGTTTCTGAAAGGAAATCAACTTCTAACAGGAAAGCCTAACTTCTCACTTCAGTTCAGTTTTGGAAGCTTTCTAAGACAAACTGACATTTTGGTATCAAACACACAGAGATCCAGCTACCAGGAAAACATGGTGCTGCCTGATACAGCAGATCCATGACACAGCACTCTGCCCACACAGCTGGAGTACGTGGGAGGCGCTCAATGAACAAATGTGCTCTACAAAACCCCACCTGAAATCCCCTCAGCTCAGAAGTTAAGGTTACAGTCACCTATTCCTAGCACCTATATAAATACTTCATAAGCCTAATGCTGCATGTGAGAAATAACACTTACAGCTATTTGCAGACTCTTATCCCCAAACAGATGCAACTGATAATGTAATTCCTTCTATTGCCAATGTTCAGTTTCTCTAAGAAAAACTTCACTTACTTTACTAAGCCCAACATTGTGGTATTTCTTTTCCATTATTTTCTTCACTGGTTCCTCCTCCTTGAAAGTAATGAAGCAAAATCCGCGCCTCTTGTTAGTTTTGTTGTCCATAGGGAGCTCTATCGATTCCACCTGGTCAAGAAGACAGTGATTTTATCTTTTATCCTGCCATTCATGTCACTTCAAAATCCTTCTAACAGGTCATATTTGTTAACTGAAAATATTTAGCCTTGGATATGACAATGTGTCTCCTTCATAGGACTTTACATCACTCAAAACCATCAAAAACATCACCTTCACTAACAACAGCATTAATAATTGTAAAAAGATTTTTCCCTCTACCTTCTAGTACCATTGGTCCATTCAGATACTCAGACAAAATATGGTACACAAAGAATATTTTAGATATGCTAGATAAATAGTCTCAGTTTGACTTTCAGTTTTAACTCAAGTTAGGACTGAAGTAACTAAATATTCCAAACCCTGAGGAGACCTAAACCTCAAAGTTTTATATCAAAAGATGTAGCTTTGTGCAAATGCACAGTTCTGTTCAACTGCTCCACCAAAATCTGGGGACAGAGAGAGACAGAGGCTACATAGTTGTACAGAATTTAGCCAAACTGCTTCAGTCTGTCCCATAGCAGATGAACTGAGGTGACTGAAGAGCATCTCATCCAACTGACCAAAACACCATCTCAAAAATGTTGCCTCCCTTTCTGACTTATCCCAGCTCCTCCTTCCACTACCCAGTCTGTGGAACTCAAAAGCCTGTAATTAATACCATTAATATTCTAAGACAGATGGAGCTACACTGGCCACTAAGCTTACAGTAGCATCCATGCAGGTTGCATTTGGGGAGTACTTTTTATTACTAAATTTGTGAAGACAGAACAACTTCCACAAGCATAAGTAGTTTGTTTTGCCACATACCTCACCAAAACCTCCAAAATACTCCCGTATTTTCTCCTCAGGTGTGTCTGGAGATAAGCCCCCAACAAAAATCTTTTTAACGGGTTCCTTTGTTTTCATGGCTTTAGCTCTTTTTGGATCAATGACCTTTCCATTCAGCTTGTGTTCTTTCTGGTCCATGACCTGAGAAAAATTAAAACACAATCTTAAGTAGTTCAAACCAAACGTTTCGCTGATGTTTTGAGCAAGGCCAAATTTGCTTCAATTTCAATACTTTGATTACAGCAATAATGTGTTGCACAAAGAGTTCTGTGATTTTGATCACTATCCACTGACACAGTTTTGACAAAGCTTTTCAAGAGCCAACTGGAGTCATGTATTATCCAAGGGAAGTAAGAGCGTAACATTTCTCAGAAAGTACCCTACAATCTCATCCTCAAACCTTAAGAAGTAAAGCATCTGTACTTTAGATATCACCAAAGGTCAATGATGGTGAAAACTTTTCCGTGTGCTGTATCCACAGCATTTTAGAAAAAATAAAGCTAATTTCTGCTTGGATAGAGCCCAAATGTATCAAAGCTATTGGCTCTACTCTAGAGGTCCATGTTGCAGCTCTGGAATGCAAAGGCTTGAAGTTCTTTTCAAATTACTGCTTTCAGTAGGCAGCAGACATTTATATACAGTGTTTTTCAAAAGTGCTCAAGTCCAGTGGCTTGCAGCAGGCTCCCATGCAAGTGCTCAAATCCACACTTTAGGAATCACTGCTGGTCCTGAACACTGCATCATAAGTAAGACAGTTCAAAAAAATAAACATTTCAACAAGTATCTTAAATATGTTGTATCCCTGAATTATCTTTAACAGAACATGTACAAACAACTATGCAGACAATCATCTGAGAGCTTTATTTCTGATACCCAAATCTGAACATGTTTCGTTACATCAATACTACCTTATCTACGCTCTCTGATTCTTTGAAGAGCACAAAGCCGAAGCCTCTCGATCGCCCAGTGATGGGATCTAACTTCAGAGTACAGTCTACAACTTCACCAAATTTAGAGAAATAGTCCTTCAGATCTTTCTTTGTGGTGTCCCAGCTGAGGCCGCCGATAAACATTTTCCTGTTAAGACAAGATGGTTTTATCTGTTAACGTGTGTTACCCAAAATCCTGTCCTGCCAAGCTGCACGAGCTCACTCAGTTACCTAATGCATGGAACTGGCAGCATTTTATCAGTGACGACACTGCACACACAGGCCTGCACTTTTTGACAACTTGTTTAAATGATTCTGGCCAGGTTAGATAAAGACTTACATATAAACAAAGTTTTGCACCATCTTCTTGCTGCAGTTGCTTACTTTGCTACCCCAGGAAATACTAATGGTGACAAAAAGGTATTTTACTACCTCCTTGAACCCCTACCACAGGCTAAATTCCATTTAGTTATCTGTGGAGCCTCCACACAACTGCTCTAGAAACCCACATGGGCAGATTAGGTTTATACAGCAGTGCACTTAAACAGTAGCATTTATGTACTAGGCTGGACTGGACATAAGCCCATATTAGTAAACTAAAATAAAGTTTAGTCAAGTCACCTTTCACGGAAAGCAGTAAAAAAGTAAAGTATTGGATGATCAAAGCTTATCTTTCCTCACAAAAACATGATATAAACACTAGGCATAATAATATAAATAATGCCCAGTCTTCACGAGCGAAGATCCGGGGAAGGTCTTTACACCTTCCAGCCTGCGCATTGGATTTTTTAGGTGAGACACAGTGTGCGCGGAACTGAGCCCACCCTTTAATCCTAAGGTTCATCTGCCGGGGCCAAGCGAGCTTGGACAGTGGCAGCGAGGTCCTTAGGACGTAGGTGGGTTGCCTTTTTAAGGGCTAACGAGCCCCACCTGCCCGGGAGTGGCCCTGACCGGGAATCGAACCCGGGTTTCCGCGGTGATAGCGCGGCGCCTTTACCACTAGACCACCAGGGGCTGCCTAGGCATAATCGAATACAATCAAATGAATGTCTTCCCAGTATTCCTAAGGAACGAGAGCTGCTGGGCAAATGTGTGCAGCACATAATTCTGATCATGACTTGTATTTTCAAAAGCACGCTGGAAGCTTAGAATCAATTCATGACCATCCCACCACATCAGTAAGACAAAAAAAAAAAAAAAAAAAAAGGGTGGGGAAGAAAAAAACCTCAGACTAGCATGCACACAAATGAATCGTTCATAGTCATAGTTATTAGACATAGGGCTTAGGCAGCCATTCAAAAGAGGATTTGAGATGATCTCCTCTAATACTGATAAAGAAGATTTTAGAGCAGGCTCCAAACAAAAAAGTATGATCCATTATGATCTATAAATATGTTTTCTACAAAGCTTTGTCCATTTTCACTGTACCAACTTATCCCACAGTTCAACACACACTTATCAGAAAACCTGAAAAAACACTGTATCGTGTCTTCAACTCCTCCACTTTCCACACCCATACAAATATTCCTGCCAATCACGTAAATTGCATGTACCTCCACAAGTCAAACTCTCTCAAATCAATAGCTGCTCCTGTGAACTAATTGTTGAATTAGCTGTGCTGTCATCACAGAATTAACAAGAGCATTCAATTTCTGACAAACATATCCAACCTCCATAGAAATGAGGGTGGCCAGGAGCTTCAGATGTTTTTATAAAAGGTCTTGAAATCTTTAAGCAGGAGCACCAATTCCCCACTTCCTTTATCCACTTTTCCCACTAGTTCCAGATCTCTCTTCTACTAAGCATCAAAATTCCTTTCCATCTAGTGTGACTTCTTGTTGTGTTCAAGACCAATCTATATTCAGCTCCTTCTGGGACCCCCAACATAAGAATGACATGGAACTGTTGGAGCAAGTCCAGAAGAGGCCATTAAGTTGATAAGAGGACTGGGGCACATCCCCTCTGAAAACAGGGTGAGAAAGGTGGGGACTGTTCAGCCTGGAGAAGTTTGCATGAAGACCTCACAGCAGCTTTCCAAGTACCTGAAGGGGGTCTACAGGGGAGCCAGAGAGGGACTCTTCATCAGGAACTGTAGTGATAGAACAAGGACTAATGGGTAGAAATTGAAAGAGAGGAAATTTAGATTAGATATTAGGAAGGAATTCTTTGCTGTGAGGATGGTGAGACACCAGAAGAGGCTGCCCAGGGAGGCTGTGGATGTCCCAATCCTGGCAGTGCACAAGGCCAGCTTGGATAAGGCCTTGAGCAACCTCGTGTAGTGGGAGGTGTCCCTGCCCATGGTAGGGGATGTTGGGACTGTCTGGGGGGTGTTAAGGTCCGTTCCAACCTCTTAACATTCTGTGGTTCTATGAATATTGATAAAATGGTCCACACTGGTAAACCAAGCAGCTTCATACTAGTACAGGCAGTAAATCCAAGGATGTTTTCTGTTCTTGTGTTCATCCATCAAGGTTCTTTGTTTGCTGTTTTGTGGAGGGTTTTTTAAGCATACTAACAGAACACAGACAGGACGTAGCGTTTTTCTGACACATGGGGGATGCTCTAGCAGTTACTACTGAACTTACACTTGCTAGGCAACACACGAGCCACCTGTTTCACAGCTACCAACAAACCATTAAACACGCAAAACCTGCTTTATAGTTGTCAACAAACCACCAATATTAACACAGAAAGCCTTGTTTATACCACTAAGTATAGACAGAGCAAGAACATGAGTTTGCAACAGCCCTCTGAAGGCTCTTCTTCTGTCCACGCAGCAACTGCAACTTGGAGTCCAGTCACACAGCAGCAAACCACGGCTGCTCCATCCTGCCACTACACTGAGCTGACAAACCACTGCTTCACTGCAAAACCTGAGGTCAGGTCAAGGCTACAACACAACCACGAGAAAAAAAAGCAATCCAGGAGTAATGCCACAGTGCTGTCAAAAGCTTATAAAATACACCAGCCAACCTGTGGGTTAGGAAATGTACGTAAGTCACATCAGCACACAGTTTTCCAAAATAAGCTTTCAGACTTAGCTAAACAGAGCGAAGATATCACAGATCTGCTGTTTTCCCTCTACTACCAAGACAGCTGCTAAAACACTTTGTTTCCTGTACAGCATGACCCATAAAAATCGACAGGTCAAGTAAGAAGACTGAACTGAACTACAAGCCAACATATGACACGTGTACTCTCTGCCCAATGTCACTGTACCCCGCAGCAACAACTTTTTCTAAGCTGCTATTGCCTCCAACGATGAGTTTCCTCCTGAAAACCCTTTAAGAAGTGTGTATTCAAGAGCAAAAAGTAAAACAAATATGCAAATTGCAAAGGTATTTAAAGCCACTAAGAGGAGATGAGAAGTAACAAAAACACTCTTAAGTTTCTGCTAATCCTACAAAAACACTCAAAAATAAGTTCCTGTTCTCTCTCCCTGCAACATCCCAGCTTATTACATCCCAGGTCATTAATATCTTTCTCTGCAACATCCCAGGTTATTAGAGAAGACACTCAGAAAGGTTTTGCAGCAGGTATCTACAGGACAACGTAGCCAGCGTTCCTTTATCCAGTTTATTTTCTGCCTTGACCAAAACCAGACCGGGAGACTGAATTCTGATGGGTCTGACAGAAGACAGCACAGAGCATCAGCCTGTCCTGTCAATGGATTTTTTTACACGTGAATTTCACCAGCAATACTAAAGTGACACTGCCCCACACCAAGCATCAGGCAGAGACTCTCGGAAGATTAAAAGCTACCTTTATTCTTCCTAAAATCATAGAATATGTTGAGTTGGAAGGGACCCATCAGGATCATCGAGTCTAACCCCTAGCCCTGCGCAGAACACCCCAAGAATCACACCGTGTGCCCAAGAGTATTGTCCAAACAATTCTTGAACTCTGGCTTCGTGCTGTGACCATTTCCCTGGGCCCAATCACCCACTGGGTGAAGAACCTTTTCCTGATACCCAGTCTGAACACACCCTGACAGAGCTTCATGCCGTTTCCTCGTCTTGAAACATCATCTAACGCAATCTTCCTCACAGCAAGTTCCGCGAGGAGCAGAGGGATGGTTTAGGCTGGGAAGAAGCCCAAGTCCCTCATGCCTCTCACCGACACACCGTCTGTGTTTGCAGCACACGGTAATGCTGTGACTGCAACCCCAACATTCGGCTACGCCGAGTTACGGCCTTGTCGCACGCACCGCACATTAAATTATATAAAAGGCATCCTAAAATAAATAAAAGGTGGTTGTAGTTCGACACATATCACACCATTTGTACACCACGGGTCCAGACACCGCCCCCGCCCGGCCCGGCCCGTGACGTCGCCGAGGCGCCAAGTAAACAAACAGGGCGGCGAGCGGGGACGGGCCGGGCCGGGGGCGCCGGGCCCCGCCCGGGACACAAAACCCGCCTCCGCCGCTCACCCCTCGTCCTCCTCGTTCTTGCTGGCGTCGATCTTGGCTCCCTCCGACTCGATCCCGCCACCGCCGCCTCCCCCATCGGCGCCCCCCGCCCCCGCCTGCCCCTCAGGCTGCTCCGCCGGCTCCGCCGCGCTGTCCCCAGCGCCCGCCGCCACCGCCGCCGAGTCCAGAGCGAATTGCTGGTCCGACATGGCGCCGCCGCCGCCCCGCAAGGGACCGGACACCCCCGGTACCGCCGCCTCCCCGCCGAGGCCTCGGCGCCGCTGGCGGCCCCGGCCGAGCGCGCCGATCCCGCTGATCCCTCCTCCTCCTGCTCCCTGTTTTTAATGGCGCCGCCACCGACCCAACCTAAAATGGCGGCCGGAAGGAGCGCGGCGGGCGGGACACGTGACCCCGCCCCCGGGGAGCCGGGAGGGAGCGGGAGGGGGCGGGGGGAGCGCTCCTGGGCGGCCCCGGGAGGATCCAGGGCCTGAGGGTGCCGGCGGGGAGCCATGGAATCACGGAGCCGGTAGGGTTAGAAGGGACCTCTGGAGATCACCCGCTCCAACTCCCCTCACAAGGCAGGGTCACCTGGAGCAGGTGGCAGAGGAACGCGTCCAGGTGCGTTTGGAATGTCCAAGAGAGGGAGACTACGGGCTCCCTGGGCACCCTGTTCCAGCGCTCTGCCACCCTCAGTGTAAAGGACGTTGAAGTGAAACAGCTTGTGGTTTAGTTTATGGCCATTGCTCCTTGTCCTGTCAGCACCACCAAAAAGTCTTGCACCATCCTCTTGGCATCTGCCTTTGAGATATTTAGATGTATTCATGAGATCCCCTCTCAGTCTTCTCCACGCTAAAGAGGCCCAGTTGCTGCGGTCTCTCATCATAAGAGATGCTCCAGACCCCTTATCATCTTTGTGACGCTCTGCTGGACCCTCTCTAGCAGCTCCTTGTTCTTTTTTTGTACTGAGGAACCAAGAACTGGACACAGCACTCCACTGTGGGAGTTTGTATATTAACAAACCAATGTAGCAGCAAAGCCATATACTGGTGGCACAAATCTCCTTCAGCCCTACCAAGGCGCTGCTGGAGGACAACTTCTGCATCCAGCTGCACTCCCAAAAAGTCAGTTTACGCACACAGTCACACACAGCTCTGGTTTCTCCCAGCAGTCATGTGCTGGGTTTTTTTGTTTGTCACCAATGACATCAGCGAGCCTTCTCCCATCCAACCTAATTGCTAAGATGACAAGAGCCTCTCAGATCCAGCAACTGTGCAAACCCCAGCAGCTCTTTTGTACAACAGAATAAAGTAAAACACCCAGCTACTTCAGAGAGAAATAAACACTGAAATTATGTATTCAGGGAAAAACCTCTACCCAGACTACTCGCTTTCAAAATCTACAAGACCTCTGAGAATTAGCTACTCGCATTTTACCTTAGCAACATTTAGTTTTTGATGCTTGACTAGGTACATGCTGAGAAAAAAACTTCAGGCTGACTGCTGCAAGCCTTTGGCTGCATGCAGGTATCTGCTCCCTTACCCATTCCACCACTTCTCCTATTAAAAAAAGAAGCTGCTGGGTGTAATGCAGTTTCCCTGTTCCAGCAATAATTCACTCAGGCTTTTATGTTGCTAGTATGCACAAGATGGGAAACCTGTTTTCTGGATGCTTCAGGTAAGAACAGTCCAGTACAGGACCTAACTTGTAGATTCAAGTTGTACAGAAAATAGTCGCTGACCCTTCAGTTCAAAAACTTGTAACCTCCTGCTTGGAATTGGGATAGGGAGTGATTTCTCTAGGAAAGCAATTATAAGGTAGCTTCTGGAATAGTCAAGGTTTTAAGGGCTTGAAAAACCTTGAAAGGCTCCACCCCTCAAGCAGTGCCTTAGCTATCAGCATTAAAAAAGTGCTGCTATAGTTGTAGAGCCCTTGAGATGTACAAAATTGGCAGCATCGTGACATAGGCCACTTTCTCCTCTCTTCTGCAGGTGGCAGGAGACAACTCTTCTATTGTCCAGTGACACAAAACTCCCAAGCACGATGATACTCTCTCAAGACAGGTCAGGAAACATGGGTTGTATTGATCCATATACACAGTAACCCAATCCAAATCTCCAAAAGGTACCTCCCCTTCTCTACAAGTAAAACTACACTTACACCAGTGTAAGGTGACAGCAAGACTTCACACTCACTTAAGTAAGCATTTATTAGAGAATCCTTTAACATGAAATTATACAAATAAAGTTTGTATAAACACAAGTCCACATTGTGTCATAACATGAATGGCAAAAACAAAGTAAAAACCATAAAAGAAAACTAGTCGGCTGCTATGTACAGTTGGACACAGTTGTGTCGTTCACTAAAAGTCTTTTACAAAATAGTCATTTCCTCTCACGAAGACCACCCTCCATTCACTCACGATGCGCTGCGAGATGGCTTTTTTGCTGCAGTACCTCTACCTAAAAAAATCAAAGACAAAATGCATGTCAGATCTGTGACAGTTACTACAGAATTGTTAAAAGGTCCATTTTCATGAACTGCTTTAAGTCTTCTATATATTCCTTTCTTCACTGTTAAAGATCATATGCATATTTATTAAGGTAACACAAGAGGTTTTGTTACCCCTCAGTAATTTATCTTCCCAAATACTGCCATTCAGCCCATTTAGGAAGCTGTTCCAAAAACAACATCTGATTTAGACTAATAAGTGGGCTCTGGATCAGTTGGTTTTTTTCCCCACTAGAAACACTGCCAAGAGGGTTTCTGATTATTTGTTTATACATCTAAATGACTTATGTGCAACACAAGTCAGGTCAAATTTAGTTCAGACAGTTCATATGCATATGATCCTTAATGTTTTTCCAGATTTAAAAGTTCGTTTTGGTTTGCAGATTTCACTATTAGCTATAAAAAGAAAAAAGCAAGCATTAAAATCTTAAAGAATGCACATTTAAAATGAGGTTCCACAATTGAAATACAACACTAAACAGAAGACCAAATGATTAAGCTGTAAAGGCATTTATGTACTTTAACTCCTGTAAAAAACCATTTAAGTTAAAGACACTTAATCTCCAAAAAAGATTAAAAAAAGAAGCCAAAGTCTGAAGTTTTCCACTTTAATCTTTACGCTGGTACATGAAGTTGGAAGAGACCATACCACAGGACAGCGTTTTCTGGTGTATGCCTTGCGCTCTGCCTGCAACGTGCGACCCCAGAGATAGACGTGGTCAGGGTGACACACGGCCTGCAATGAAGTTCCCGCTGGCGGGTACAAACAAGGTATAATGTCAGAGTTAGAAGACAACATTCTTGTTTTCCTTAAGTTGTACCCATTTCAGTACTTTACCTGTTAATACTTCTAATAAGTTTAATTATTCCTCTAGATCACCTGGTACACAACGCAAACCAGAAAAACTCTTATGTTTTTCTGAAGTACTAAAGAAGATAAAGTCACGTTTTTACAAAGTTAAAGATCTATAGACACGTAGGCAAAGCTGGTTTAAAAAAAAAAATTATCTTTTTAAGTTAACAAAAGCTTAATTAAAGGAAAAGTCACACTACGCAAGTTTTTACTCTTCGTTTGTCTATTGATCTTTAAATTAGATTAGACATACTCAGAGTGGACCTTGCACTCAAGTACACACCTGTTTGCTCAAGTACTAGGTACTGCTTTAGTACGGCTGGTAGTTGTTTTGGTGGTTGCCGCCGCCACGGGACGCCTTTCCGTATGTGCTTTGTTGGCCTGTAAGTAACATGAGGGGAAAAAACCGAAATGCAGAAGCATTAACATCCAGCCTCTGAAGGAGACTTAACATACAGCACACAAAGAGATCTCATCTTTAGAGCCACGTGCCATGAATTTTACAGAGCAACTTCCTAGAAGAGGCCCTTGTTTAAAAGATGCACGTTCTTGTTATTGGGAATGAGATCAAAACCACTTACCACTGTAATCTGTGTATCCCGGCCCATATCCATAGTTGGGATAGTTGTACCCCGAGTAATCATATCCTCCATAGCCACTGTAGCTTTGATCGCTATAAGCGCTATTGTAATTTCCATATCCTTGATCGTAATAGTTATTAAATCCTTGATTCCAGTTTTGTCCCTGGCCTGAAACGAAGTATAGCAAGTATAAATTACAGAACTTATTTAATTTCTCTTCTGTGTTGCTTCATTTAACTTTCAATGGCAATCTTTCTCTGCTAGAGCTATTACCTGAAAGAATCCTCTTACCTAAGAAAAATCATTTTCTAAAATGATTTCTAAAATTCTAAAATCTCATTTGGACACAAGAGATATGTGACTTAAGATCTCAGAACACACAGCAGATGTCATGGTGGTCATAAAACAGCCAGGAAAAGCAAAACAACACAACACCAAAGGCACATGTTACAGCAGCTCCTGCTGTTTTTCTTTAACTGCTGTTTTGGATCAGGAATTGCCTGAGCACCAAATTATACCACAGGATCTGCCTTACTGTGTTGTGTTAGTTGTTTTAACTCAAAGACTGAGATGCATTAACCCGTAATGTAACAGCTGATTGCATATGATCCATTTGCAAGGTGTAGCAAAGTGACTGCCATCCTCTTCAGCAAACAGCTCTTAGTTTCTCACCCATAAGCCCACCAAGAGTGCACCCCTTCACATGAAAGGGTTAACTGCACTGGCTACACCATCCACTGTACAGAAGAACCCTGCACCCAGCCTGCCACTTCACCACTTGAAGGCAAGCAGAGCAAGAACACACTCCTAAGCTTCCAGAAGCTATCACAACCACCAAAATACCATTTGTTAACAGGCTACTTTACACAGTTTAGAAAGAAGATCAGCACAGAGCCTCAAACCTGGAATATCTACAAACACCGGAGTACTTGCATTTAACCACTGAAAACACTCACCCCGTCCACGCCCCCTTCCGCCTCCACGTCCACCAGAAGTATTGCTTTTCCCTCCTTTCTGCTGCTGCTGCTGTTGCCTGTATACCTCTTTGGGCTGTGCTACTTTGATCTCACACTGCAAGGACAGAAATGCTTTAACTGATCACAAATTTCAAGACCATTTTGTGAGATGCTTTCCCAGAAGCCTACACAGATAGTCTATTTCACATGCTAACAATGAGAGCTTTCATACCTTGCCTGAACCAATCTGATGGTATCTGCTTTCTAATAACTTCTTTACTGGCTCTTCATCTGTGTATGTGATAAAACAGAAGCCCCTTCTTTCATTAGTCTTTGTATCCATGGGAAGTTCGATGTTTTCAATCTGAAATCAAAACGCGTATAAACAATGCATAAAATCTGTGAGCAACTTTTTATGGCAGTGTAGTATCTG